TGATTACCAGGAGCGCTCACCCCCTGAGGGGGTGGAAGGCGGAAATTGGCGCCATCCTAGGGCGCGGCTACACGCAGCTCCCTACAATAGTTTCCAAGCTCTTAATTATATTATTTGAGTAGTTATATTTTAAAGCTTACCTTTACTTCTCTCACCTGAGAAGCACTGGTCAAATAGACAAATACGAAGACCTTGGTGTCTTCTAACCTCATGTGGCCTCATTTGGCCTCTTTGATGTGTCTACCATGCAAAATGCTACAGACGCTCCGTGCTCACCACTGGAGAGGCACATAGGGTCCGCATTCATGGCAACTGGCCTAGGCCCATGTGGCACACAAATAGTCCTGATGCTCTGATTTCTATGTCACTATTCTTTGTATACATATTTAATCTAAAAACTATTCTCTATGTTTAAGGAACTGCATTATGACTCTTCCACTTACAATGTGACCTAGAGTAAGTCAGTTTATGTACTCGTGCTTTGCTGCTACATCTGTGAAGTGGATTGATAATTCTTAAAAGGCTGTGGAAGGATAGATGGGATAATGGTAGAAAACACAGAAGACTTACAGCACTAAAGAAAGCACTAAAACAAGTTACCTTTACCACTAACCTTGCAAAGTTAAGTTCTGCAAAGAAATCCTTCTTTGCTGTTGGCCTCCATTCTTAGTTATTCTTGTGTTTCAGTAGAAATCAGCAATTATTTGTTGTATTGTTGAATTGAGTTTTTTACTGCTCCCTCTAATTACGTGAAGCCCTTCTCCAGCCATGGGCTTTTCCTTTGCAGTGTTTTCCTCCCTTTGTGACCTCATTGCCATTACACCCCTTCTTGCACCATAGCAATTCTGCTGGGAAACTCCCAAGTGTCCTCTCTCTATTGTTACTGCATAATCGCACAGTTTGATAGTGTCTGGTGTGGCAGTCTATTCGTTAGATATCACAGATGGAAATTTATTGTTTTTCAACAGTTTGATCAACAGACATTTTCTAAAGCATAGAGTTGTATTTCATATCATTATCCACAATGAAGTGTATTGGATGTCATTAATATCAATGCCTGTTTCGAACAATTGGTACATTTGATCATTAAAAGCAGCCTATAACTGCCTTCTTTCTGTTTTGCATATGTTTTTTTTTTGTTTTGTTTTAGTTTCTTTCTCCAATTCATCCCATAGACTAGTTTGTTCTACTTTTAGAAATCCACTAAGTTTTAAGTTCACTGTGTATTAAAAAGCAGATTGGATATTGTAACCAGTGCAGAAAAAATGTTCAGTATGTTATATCTTAATAATTTAATAATTGTAGGAGTACAAATAAAGAGACATTTTCAACAGCAGAGTGAGCACATGCCCAGAGATATTTTCAGAATAGTTTGAATATATATGTATATATATACATATATATTATATATATACATATATGTATATATATAGTAATTGTGCATTATAAATGTAAATGTCTTGGTCAAGAAAATGTAAACTCTTCCCAGTGATTAATTGATTAATTGTGTAAACCAAGACACATATTTGCACATCTTTTCAGAGTCAATCATTTTTATTATTGATGGTAATCAAACCAAGTAAATGAAATACACAATTGTTGAAATATTGAAATGCAAAATGGCTGAAATGTAATGGCTGAAATATTTCCATGCGTGAAAGAGTCAAGGTAAATTTATAGTTTTATGATGGCTTTCGGCTGCTAGCATTGGATATATATCCTTAAAGTTTTCTCCAATGCTACAGAGATAGAACCTAATTAGGTACATAATAATTGTCTTAGTTAATTTTTTTTATTGCTGGATAAAGTACTCGACACCCAAAATTAAGGAAGGAAATGTTTATTTTATCTCGCAGTTTGTGGAGGCTTCAGTCCATACTCAGCTGGCTCCTAGGCAGGCTGGCACATGGCAGAGGGCAGGATTTCATGGTGGCAAACATAGCAAAATAGGGAGAGCAAAGGGAAGGAACAGTGGCAGATCAGCAGAGGCAGAGAGCAAACTTCTCTCCCTTACTTAAATTGCATTCAGGCTTTCTGCCCCAGGCTTGGGTGTAGCACTCACACCCATAATCCCAGCATTCGATCGTGAATTAATCATAAACTCCAGAAGCCCACCCCAGTGACTGCATGAGGCTTGGGGGGGACAGCTAGACACAGACCATAACAGTAACTTACTGATTTTTAATCTCTTGCATGCATAAAATACCTTGAAACTGCTGTCCTATGACTTACCTGTTTTTATTGAGTATCAATTGTGTATCATCATGAACATACTTTCTCTTTTTAGAATGTATAGAATAGCAGCATCAATGTGGAATATGGAGTTAAAATTGTGGAATCTTTCTATATTTTCGAACCATGTTTTTCCTTTTATGTTTTTTTCAAATACATAATTTCAGAATTTATTAAAGTATTCTTTTTTACTTGATTTAGCTTTATTGTTTTTGGAATCAAATTATTGCAAAGTATGCTCATTTCAACTGCTGTGTTTTATTTTTCAGAATGGTTTAGACCTCATGAATGTATGTGAGAGAGGAGAGCTCAGTGACCGAATAACCTCATATTGTTGCCATTTATCAGCTATTTTTGTTACCATTGATCAGATCACATTTCGTGTGTGTGTGTGTGTGTGTGTGTGTGTGTGTGTGTATTTCTCTTTTAAATCAGTATTCTGGAAGGCTTACAAAGACCTTGTCTCTAAAAAAAACCTGTATGTTTTGGGAATTTAGTTGAGTGCAAAAGCCTTGGGTTCATTTCTCTGTAGCATATGTATGTGTGTGCCTTCAGGAATGTATACACGTACAAAATCAGGACTTAGTTAATCTTTTTGATTTCTACCTCCAGGCAGGAAGAAAACTGGACTTCAACTTACAATGAAGTTTAAAGGGATAGTTGTTTACCTCGGCTTTAGATGATAAAATCACTTTTAACAAACAGCATAAGTGAAAAGCAGACAATTTAATTGATGTGTGCTCTTAAGTATAAATATTTTAAAAACCTGTTTAGAATATGTTACTTTTCATAAACATGATTAAGATCAACAGATTTCATCTACAGAGCTGTAAATATAAAAAACCAACTTAGTGGAATTTAATTATATTGAACTCTTTTATAAGCAGGCTATTTTAACAAGGAAAACCAGAAAACATAATGCTATAGATTTTGCTCGAAAGTCTAGGGTAGATTTGAGAAATGCATTGCTTGTGGCATGATCATAGCAAAAATATTCACTTCCCAAAGATTGCCAGGAAGCTCATGCAATCTGGTGGCCATAATGATTTGTGTGTCCCAGTTTCTTCCCTGCTTGAAATCTCATCTGTGACACTTAGCTCATTTTTCATAGCACAACCAACTTGAGTGGATGAAGCTCTCAAGTGGCAGAGCCCAAGTGATGGTTGTCCCATGCTTGTTTTACCTGATACTTCACTGCTCACAGCTTTGGGATTTCCATTTAGGCAATGAAGTTAAAGTTTCTTAGTAAATCATGAACATTTGTACTTTTAGAAACAAATGAAACAAAACTTAGAATTGCTCTTTAACATAGAAAGCTTGATTTGAAATGTCTAAAGCCATGATAAGAAACAGTCCTCAAGGTCCAGGGAGATAGCTCAGTAGAATAAGCACTTGCCTGATAAGTGCAGGGTCCTGAGTTCAATCCCCAGCACCTGAAGAAAAAAAAGAAAAGAAACATTCTGTCAGATTTTTTAAGCCTATCGCTTGATGAAGTTGGATTACTGGAAATGTGTCCTCTGGCCACATTGTAGTAGTCTTCCAAGTAGATGCCATAAAGGAATTGTTATTTAATAGTATGGCCTTGACAGGAGTGACAGGATGTGACAAGAATCTCTGTTAGCTTTTGTAAAATTACAATTGCATTCTATAGGTTATGCTAGTTTCTACAAGGTATAAAAATTCCTGTGATAACATCTTAGAGCTTTATCCTAGAATTTTTTAAATTTCTTTTCACATCTGGTATCTGTTCCTTTCTTTGATGCTGAATGGTTTGTAGCTCAGTAGTTTCTTGCTTTGAGGGGTTTTCTAAGAATCACAAAACCAAATTGATTATAATTTGGTAAAATCCTTACTAATGTTTTCATTCATTGTTTCCTGTTCCTGTCCCATTTTCATATCTTTTCTAGAAATAGGAAGTATGTAAATAAGGGAATAAGTTAGATCATTCCAAATTTGAATATGAGAATAAGCAGTACTTAAGCAATTTTCATTTAAAAATCTCTTAAATCATTACCCCAATTCAGAGAATTTACACTGTTCAACTCCAAAAACAGTTTGTGAGTGGGTGCCATGCTGGAAGAAATGGAGACCAAGGCAGGAGCTCTGTGCTCTCTGTGTCATTGTCACTGGGGACCCAAAAGCTGGAGGTGCAAACTGAACATGGAGATTTAAATCAGGGAAGGAAATAGAGTGACCTTGTTCTATTTATGTTTTCTGAAGTCATAGCTATTGCAGTCACAGATGTCAGCTTAGTAGGTTTTATTTTGTTTTTCCTGTAATACTGGGGCCTCGGTTTGGGGTTTTTCTTCAGTATCAGCAAGTACCCTCAGGATCTTCTCTAGAATATTTATGGCATTGTCACCATTGTAGATTATGCAGAAATTCTTGAATATACGTTTCAAGTTGGTGAGGTGATTGTTTACATTGCATCTTTATCTTCTGTGAACATTGGTCACATATGTATACTTTGGTTCACTGATGTAAGTTAAAGAGGATAAACATGCTAAATATTCGTGTAATGAAAATATGACTTTTTTATGTTTAAAAATTTATTAATGTGAGAATATTTTAATGAATTAATTTCTGTTAAAAGTATAATGTATCGTAAATAAAACGATTGAGTAATAAAATGTGTTTGTTCTCTCCTAGGATCCTAGTTACTGGGTGAAGATTCATCACTTAGAGTACACAGATGGTGGAATCCTCGATCCAGATGATGTCTTGGCAGATGTTGTTGAAGACAAAGACAAGGTAGATGACTGAAAATGTTCTCTTGGTTTTAGAATCTTTAACAAACTTGTGTGTCAATTATTATTAAAAGATACCATCTGTTCAGGTGTTACTGGAAAGCCATACATCAGAGTTCTTCATCAAATGCATGGAAAAACTTTGCTGGGGTTTGGGAACCAGTTGTGGTGGCCTAATTAACAGGCACTGCACTCCCAAGAGTTCCCAGTACATCTCAATAAATTAGTGTCAGCACTGAGGCTGTTGAACTTGTCCTTCTTGCTACTGACTTTGGAATTTATTTCTCCCCTTTGCAAAATATTCCATGTAATATTTGAGATTTGAACGTGTTTCACAGCACAGAGTACAGCTGTGACATGCTGTAATAGTCACATGGTACAATGTTCACCGCACTGTGGCGAACAACTGTTTTGAATGCTAGTGCCCATCCACCACTGTTTAGTAAAAAGCACTAAGGAACACTAAAAAGCTTAAACATGATCTGCTACATACTTGGGTTTAATTGGCAAATATATGTAGTTTTTCTTCTGATACTAAACTGATGAAGGTATGAAAACAAATTATTCACTTGCAATGTGGTGGACATTGCTGAAGAAGCACACTGTTTAACATTAATTCTGTACCAGTCTCCTCTTATCAGTGGTAAACATATTTTCCAAATTGAACTGTCTCTAAAGTTTCTTTTGTACATTTTTACAGCTGTTTCTCTTTATTGTTTTCTGCAGCACATGTTGGGTGCATGTGTGTTTGCATAGTTAGGTATTTCAAACTGGACAAGAATACAAATAAGTGATTTATTGAACTCAGATAGCATTTACATTGTTTTCTATGAGTTATTTTCAAGCTGTTTATTTATCTGCAGAGATTCTATACATTTGCTTTTCATATTTTCTTTTGGAACTCAAACTTGGTTTGCTTTGCATGATAATTAGTCATTTGATCAGTGATTTACCTTCCTAAATAAATTGTTAGCTCTTAGAGGACAGGTATTTGGAAATTTTTATTTTTGTGTGTATGTTCCTTATATTAACAGTATCTGGCACAATATCTTACACAGGCTGGACTCTTGATGAACACTGAATTAATGAGTGAAAAACAAAGCTTTACTCTACTGGTATCATGTACTTCTTTGATTTTGATACACATTTTTATTATTTAGTTGGGCTCATAGTAAAGAAGAATATTTGGTTCACACTTATAACATGAAGGGAGGGATTTCACTAGTTTTTCTCTTATTTACTTTCTTCTACATCCCAAGACCCTTTTCTTACTTTGAAATATGCTAGGTATTTGGGTTGTTTTTTAATGAAGAAGGTGGTTCCTGTCTCACATTTCATGATGTCAGTGTACTAAAATGAAAAGTTGAAAATGACAAGTTTAAGAAGGGCTCTGGCCTTGTCCAAGAAGACCTCATTATAGGAGGGTGATTCCGTGAACAGTGCCCAGGGAAATAATTTGTTTAACACAACTCATTCCTCTGCAGGCTTCATTTTAACTATCTGAGCAGTGCTCTTTTTAACCAGAACCATTTAATAGTCACAGAAACAGCTTTATTTTATCTTCTCTTTTTAACAGGACTCCACCATTACTAAATATGATGACAATGTGAGATAATCAGTTACAATTCTAGCAGAGAATTCATATGGTTTGGGTATAGATTTAACCATTCTCTTAATACAGTTTAATGTTTCTCTGTGAAGCCTAACTGGTTTACTTCTGAAGAGTTGATGAGAATTTACACTTTCAATGAAGCCAGAAAAACATTGCATTCCAATTTTTTTCCTTTTTAAGAAATGAGTGAAAAAAGAGCTTTACGTACTTTTTCTGAAATTTTCTCTGTAATCGTAAGATTTTCTTATGGTCTGTATGTCTAATGTGGGAAGAAAAGTCTGTCAGATTTCAATTTATCTTACTCTTTTTGGTTTGGATTAAGCAGTAATTATAAATGGTGCTCTGAGGGTATTTAGTGACATATCAAAGTAAAGAACTTTTGAGGTAGCAATCAACTTAGATAAAATGGCAGCACACCAATTTGCAAACTGGCTACCTAATATTCTTTTGCTTTTAGAATATGTGTAGAAAACAAGCACAAAGAATCCTGTACAGAATTACTGTGTGAAGGCCAGAACACTTTGGTTCTAGGTGTTAGTTACTTTTCTCTCACTGCTGAGACAAAATACCCAAAGTTAAAGAGTGAAAGGTTTATTTAGCTCACAGTTTGTGCAGGTTTCATTCCATAATCAGTTGGCTCCAAGGCATAGCAGCATGGAACGGGGGCAATCATTCATGATGACTACAGTGGTGGAAAAAAACAAAAGCAATAAGAGCGAAAGGGAAGAGCAAGCTTCTTTCCAGTCTCTTACAGTGTACACTGGCTAACTTCCCTAGAGTGGGTATAGCACTCTCACCTCCAGTCCTAGCATTAGACAATGAGCCAGTAACTACGTTTATCCACTTCTGGAAAGCCTGCCCTCATGACCACATGAGGCTCAGGGAGGGGAGAATCCAGACAGCAACTAGAACACTAGGAAAGACTCAGTACACATGAAAATGACATTGAAGCACTGTTGATAGCTTAACTGCAGAGGATGAAGCAGGGAACACAGAGACTTAGACTATAGTGTAGGCTGAGGCCATTTAGTTTATAGAAAGGCTATTGAGTACATTTCAGTAATGGCTAAAACCAAAGGTTGATCTTAAAATCTGAGCAAAGCTCAGTCAAGTTTAGTCAGTTTTCTGAAGAGATAACTGAAAACTTCTGGCCTAGAGGGTGTGCCTTTGTTTTTACCCCTTCTGATCCTTTGGAAAAGATAATGCTTAATGCATAAATGCTTTCTTTCCAAAGTTTTTTTTTTTTTCTTTTCTTTCTTTCTTCTTTTTTTTCTTATATTTTAGGGAAGGGTCTACAGGGTGTTCAGGGTCTCACTACTAGATCAGACTGGTAGTGATCCACCTGTTTACAGCCTCCCAAGAGCTGGGATTACAGGTGCACGCCACCATGCTCAGTCTCTATTGCCATCTCAGCATGCCCTGGGGGCAGGGCCAGCATAGTAGGCACAGGGATCAAACTTCTGAACTGTGCCTGTTTGCAGGCACTTTAATCTGCTGAGCTATTTGGCCAGCCCTAAATTTTATTTTTTCTAATGAGATTTTATTTTTATATTTTAGGTATACATAATGATCACCTTCATCATAGAGAATTTGCACCTGTATATAGCTGTCTTCTTTTATCTCCTTCCTGTCCCCTCCTATCAACCTCTCTTCTCCTTTCCATTCACAAAAGCTTTGTTTCTATATCTTCTTCTTTTTTCACTTTTCCTTTCTTTCCTTTCCCTATGCACCCTCCTCCATTTTAGCACCTCTTTTCCTGTTTCACAGTACTTAGTACACATTTTGTCCTTACTTACACTTTCAGTTTCTCACAGAGAGAAATAATGCAGTGTTTACATGTGTGTCCAATTTATTTCACTTAAGAGTATAGTCTCAAGATGTCCATTTATGTAAAATGTTTTCTCTTCTTTATGGAAGAATAGTACTCCATCTTATTAGCAAAATTTGCATCTTCTTTTATCCATTAACCAGTTGATGGACTTTTAGGCTATTTTCAAGATGTGGCTATTACAAATTGTGCCACTATAAACATGGATATGCATGTATTATTGTGCTATGATGCTTCTAATTTTTTGGGGGAAGATACTTTGAAGGGGACTAGCTGGGTCAGAAGTTTTTATAGTTGCCTCCCCATTTACTGCCCTTTGCAGGGCAATCTTGTTTTTAAGTTTGTTTATTTGTTCTAAGTTCTTGCTATATAGCCCAGACTCATAGTGATCCTCTTGTTTTAGCCTCCCCAGCACTGGGATTACAGGTTGCACCACTATGCCTGGTTTTGAGGCCTGTGTGGCACAGGGAGAGCACAGCATGAGGTACTGGGGATCAAACCATGTCCTTGCACTTGCTAGGCAGATGTTTAGACCACTCAGCTATCTCCTGTCCCTCATTTTTTTTACTTTATTATATTACTTCCATCCTATAGCTTATCAAAAATTGAAATAGTTTGGGAATCTTAAATCTTCTGATAACTAGTATTTGTATAAAATGTTGTATAAAACTTTATTTAGTTCTGATATTGTCAAGTTCCTTCAATTTAGGTATTAGTCTGATGGTTAAAGTCCTTTGGCATAAACACCTATGATTGATGGCTTTCTATAATTTCTCTTCCCTGGCTGTCAATGGCAAGTAACTTAATTTATACATTAATGATGGAATATTTTATGGTGACCATAATCTCTTTGGTAGTTACATATTCTGTTTTACTTTTAAAGCAACTCTGTAGGCAAGAGCTATTATTATCTCTCTATTTTTAGTTCCTAGAATAGCCACAGAAACTATAAGAAATATTCAGGATCACATAGGCCATATGAGTAGCAGAACTAGAATCTGGACCTAGAACTTAAATTTCCACTCTATTTTTTCTATGATGTGCCAATTAATGTATTAAGTGTTTGTATGAATAACATGTATTGATGAATATTCAGCAATCATAAATGAATTTGAAATTTTGTTTTATGCAGTCACTACTATTGCTAAGGAAGTACAGATAATAGACTCAACTATGAGATGTAACAAACTTAATCAAAGGTTAGTATTTCATATATATTGAATTCATTTCAATTTTCTGCCTAGTGTTTGCTCTAATGTTTTGTAAAGTCCTATTAGTTTTACCTGTTTGCTCTCTTTTTTTGTAATTTTAAAGATAATAAAAAATAAAGGGGCCGGGAGATGGCTCAGTGGAATAAGCGCTTCCCTGGCAAGCGTAAAGGCCTGACTTCAATCCCCAGTTCCGCAAAAAAAAAAAA